CTAGAACATTAACAAACGGGCATATATACATCAACATCAGAACTTCAACCTTAATGAATGCAATTCACTTGTCATAATTATTGTTCCAAGAGAAAATTGTAACTAGAAAACTCCATCTTGAATATTCAAAGATAACTGGGAGATCCAGAAGGAGATAAATAAGCACAAAGTCCAACTTATTTTATTTTATTTTTATTTTTAACGTTTATTTATAGTTGTAGAAAAAAACGTTTATTATTTATAGCACATCAACTTATTTTAACTTAATTAAAGTTAGGTTAAGTAATAACATATGCTACTAAATCCGTACAGCTCTGAATAAATAAATAAATAAATAATCGATATAACTAGATTTTTTTACGAACTATAAATATCTTTTATTTGATATAATTCTATTCGAATAAGGTATGATTACTATATATGTGCTAAATACATGTCAATTTCAAACATCCACACAATATGAGATAACGGACAAGTGCAAACTATATAAGCCTATTTATTTTCTATGCACTAACACCTAATTAAAAATCATGATATAAATTAATTTTAATATAACTAGGTAAAAAAGTATTTAATCTTCCTAACTTTCATCTCTTTTATAAATAAACACCACAAATTTTAAATTTATTCTAATTGATCCTTAAACTTTGTTTTTGTTAGAAAATAAACATCATAAACTTTAATTTTATTATAATTTATCTTTAAAGTTTACCATTTTTTAAAAATAAACACCTTGATAAAAATTTTATCTTAATTATTTTTTTTTTTTGTATATTACAGTGAGATTATATTATTAAGATAAAAAAAATATCAATCATTTATTTATTTTAAATCACACTTATTTATTAATTTTTTGGTACATATATATTAGTTTTATTTTCATATATATTAAAATATTATATAATATAATTTAGAAGAAGAAAAAATCAAATAAAAACTTCTTTTTATTGTTTTTATCATTTTTTTAATTTTTTTAAACTTGTATTTTTGTTATATTTTGAAAAAAGAATAATTGTAACAAAAAAAATATTACTTATGATTGATATTTAAGATAAATAGTTTAACTCTAAATTGATAATATAAAAACTCTGCAAAAGCAATCAATTATTAAATGTCAAAATCAATTCAAATAAAATTAAAGTTAAAGGTGTTTATTTGTAAAAGAAGAAAAAATTTAAGGATTACTTGAAACAAAATTAAAATTTATGGTGTCTATTTATACAAATTGTGACACCCATTCTACTTCAACCAATAATATAATTAAATAAGGAAAAAATTTAACTATTCAGGTGAAATAGGTTCATATGTAATCCACTTTTAATCATCCAACAAAAAAATAATAATTATAAGATGTAAGGTTTTCAACAAGAAAAAAGTAAATCAATATGAAAGATAAAATCCTATTTTAATTCCATTGTCCCCATATCACATTATCAAAACAAATTCATCACTTCAACTCTCGGTACCTTCAGTACCAACCTCATCAATTATCTCATTACCTAAAATAAAACCACAATGTATATGAGTGAGAAAAACAATTATTCATATGTACGACACAAGAAAAGAATCTCATTCAAACATATAATCAACCCTCATACGATTCACAGAAATAACCAATCAAAATAATATTATTATCTCATATATACATGAATATCACCATTATTGCATCATCATACAACTCATGCATCATGCTTATGCTCACGCCAATGCATATGCAATGCAATCTTCTAAGAAGTATCAACTTGGAACGCCGCACAATGGGCAAACCTCATCAATCTCCTTAGGCATTGCCACACATGGCCACACTTTTTACATCAGTTATGACCGGTGTCACACTCTTAATCACTACTTATGCCCAGGTAAATGTGTGTGCAACATGCGCAAATGCTCATGTTATGTCACCTCATCCATTCATTATCTCTACACATGCCAATGCACAATTAAATATAAAGCCACATCCACTCACATTTGTACATCAACTCATCCAAATGCACACCATTCATATTTAATCGTACAATAGTCACCACTGGACATTATACCATTCACAACCATCATCAAAATTCATCAATATATATATCATATTCATAGTTTGTGCCAAACTTTACCAAGTCGTGCCCGGCTATAAGCCACAATAGAGAGCACACAACATTTTCACACTCGACTTAATTATAATTATGCTCGATGTTAAGAGTAAATAAATAGCACATAACATTTTCACGGTCAGCTTAATTATAATTACATCTGACGCTAAGAGCAAACAAAGAACATACAACACTTTTATGCTCGGTGTCAATGAGCCACGCCCAATGTTAAGACAAGGCAGAGACTCACTTAATTTGTCACGCCTGGCATGATACATCATAAATAGAACATCGCCAAAATTCCTAATCAAACATACAACATCCTTTTATCAATCTAATCAATCAAAAACACTTATTTTTAACCAAAAACATATTATATAATATTGATTTCATGAATTTTTATACCAATTATCAATACCCAAATTTCTCAAGAACCCTAACCTCTATAGATATTCCAATGAGTTCAATTATTCTTCAAATTATCAATTTTACCAAACAATACAATAAAACACATTCACAATTCAATATACAACCCAATTGAAAAGTCAATTGAGACATCATAACAAAAAAAGTTAAATCTAAGAAATTTAGGGGTTGTTCCCTCTACCCATCCTCTCTTGTAATCCCACATTAACTCATTTCCTTTCACGTACCTTATTGTGATGATGTGAAACAATTTGATGTAGTTTGAGACAATTTGAGTACTTATCCTTAAAGTTCATTCCTTTTCTTCCTTCTCTTTCAATCCTTTCATAATCTAAAATGACGCAGATTAGGATAACTTTGTCTAATCCCCCTCCTTAAAACTCACTAAATCGGATCAACTCGACCCATTTCTCTTCTACCATTAAATTAAATAAATTAATATAATTCAATATAACTGTCTTATTGTTATTTAATAAAATAATTCTGAATATAGTATAATAATATTTAATTACAAAATTACTCATTATTTAATAATATTTATTTTTAAAAAATCAAGATATTACACAAATTAGATAAAATTTAAGGATTGAATAAGATAAAATAAAAGTTTGTAGTGTTTATTTGTAAAAAAAAATAAAATTTAGGATATTTAATTCCTATTTTCCCATATAATTATTTTAAAAGTCAATAAAACTGTATATTTAACAACTTTTTATTGGTTAAATATGTAAAAATTCTTCACACTCTCGGTACATGTACCATATACACTTAATGTTTATTATTTATAGGCGAATTGAATTCTTTGGTAGAGGCCTTAAGTATCTTTCACTTAGGCATGACAACGGGGCGAGGTGGGGGCGGGTTTTATGTTCCCCGCCTCCGTTCCTGCAAATTTAAACCGCCCCCGCTCCCGCTCCCAATACCCGTCGGGGGTAAAATCTAGGTCTCCATCCTCGCTCCCAGCGGGGTTCGGGTTTTCCCGCCCCGCTCTTATTTTTTTTCTTTTTTTTTGTTTTAAATAAATATGAACAATTTTAAAAAAATAAAAATAAAAATAAAAATAAAAATAATATAAATTTTTACATATAAATATTTCTAATTTTGGTTTATATATATATATAAATAATTTTTTAATTATATTATTAAGCGGGGCAGGGGCGGGGGCGGGTATGGGGGCGGGGGCGGGGTGGGTATTAACATTCCCGTCCCCGCCCCCGTCCCCGATTTTATCAATTAGGAAAAACTCGAACTCGATAAACACGAGTTTTTCCCGTCCAAATCAGGGCGAATTCGGGCCCCACGGAGGCGGATTAGATTGTCATCCCTCCTTTCACTAATCCTTACTTGAGTATAATAGAATCATGCAAAGTTATGGCTTCGAGTGTCATATATATTATCAGTCACAAATTTACATATAGTTAAGCAAGTGTAATTGTATTTCCTGATTTTAAGGATAATACATGTATATGATGCATGTGTCTTGATCAGTTGAGTTTTTTTTCCCTCTAAACTTATATTTTGAACTTATTGTTCCTAATTTCTTAATTGTTAATTTGTCTTTGATTGGCTAGTTTTTATTTATTTATTTATTTTGATTTCTTATTAGCTTGTTTTTCATTTCTAATTGACATTTTTATGTAGTATTTATGTCTTTATATATATATATACATATATACTAATTTTTATTTATTTATTTATTAAATAAATTGTTCTCACTGTGACTCAAGATCCTAAGTTTGTTACTAACCTAAGTATATGCCATAGTATAAAAGTGCTACTTAAATTTGAGATTACTAACTAAACTCAAATAATTTCACACCGGATGGTTAGCTAGCAAACTTATATATATTTATATATCTAAATATATCCAATTAAAAAAAAGACTATAGCTAGTAACTTAACTATGACCTCATGGAAACTAAAAAATAAAGTCATACTTATTTGATATATATATATATATATATATATATATATATATATATATATATATATATATTATTATTGTGTGCAAGTTTAGGAGTATAT